CAGTGAAGACAAGGATACTTTTTGAACAATAGACGGAGGCATCAGGAATGGTTGGAGATGATGCTGAGGGGCCCTGAACCCAGAATATGCCCTTGTGGCTGGAGAGGGTTAGTTACCCCCATATGTCCAAGATAAGTGAGTATGTCAGAGTGTATATATGTTTAATTAATAAAGGATGCTTGGGTAGCTGAGCTTGGGTAAATAACAGTTCGATCACATTATTTGCAGACACAAAGGCATGTTATAATAATGCATGTTCCTGCCTCCTTTTGACCAGTGACAGTGAATGTCGGTCCGCGAGTGTTTTGGGACCTGTGTGCCTGATGAAAGCCGAGGCATTGGCAGCTTCTTTTTATTATTTATTTAATTTTTTTTGTGTGTGAGAAAGATTGGCCCTGGGCTAACATCCGTGCCCATCTTCCTCCACTTTATACGGGACGCCGCCAGAGCCTCGCTTGACCAGCGGTGTGTCGGTGCGTGCCCGGGATCCGAACCTGTGAACCCTCGGGCCGCCGAAGTGGAGTGAGCACACTTACCCGCTGTGCCACTGGGCTGGCCCTTTCTTTTTATTTTTAATTAAGTTCCTTCTTTGTGCTGTGATTTTTGAACCAGTAGGAAGTTGTGGGATATGAGAAGCGTTAGACACTCTAGGCGGGATGAAGATCAAACAGAAGTTTTAACGTTTTGTATTTCTTCATCCTAAAGATGCTTATTCTTTATCTATCTATCTCTATGTCTTTCTTTACCTTTTTCTTTTTTTGGAAAGGTAGAGAAGGGCAAATCCTTAAATCCCTGGCTTGAGACCAGCTTGCATGAATAAACTCTGGGCAGACAGGCCCCGCTGGCCGGGGAGCCTGGGGACGTGCCTGTCAGCTGGGCTCTGCTGGCCGTTCTACTGGCGGTGCGAATGTAGACTGACTCCGGGAATCTTGTACCACCTTCGAGAGCACCCGTGCATGACAGGCCTTTGTCCTTCCAAAAGCCAGAACTGAAACACTTTACTGCCTTCAGGGTCGGGTCTCCTATTAGATAGAAATACGTTTATCCATCAAGCAAAAATCACATCTTTCCCTTTTCATGCATTCTTTTTTTCTCCAGCGTTTCAATCCATAATCTAACGTATGGGAAAGGGAAGGCACTGAGAGAGCGGAATGCTCGGGCCCGCGGAAGTATGTGAGAAATGCCTCCTTTCTCAGACTAGCACCCGACTCACTGGGGCTTGGGCCTTGGGGGTGAGGACCAGAGGGAAGACTGGGGAGAGTAGTGGGATCCAGAGCGCCTGTCCAGTGCCTGGCCCTGAGGCCGCCTCCGTGGCTGCGCCCGAGGGAAAGGGCTGAAAATGGGGAGGACTTGAAATTAACCCAGCTTTATGAGCTGGGCAGTGGGCCTGGGCGTGGGGAGATTGAGCTGGGAATTCTTCTGACTTTTTCCTTTTTTCTACAACCACAGTGGTTCCTCTGGCAGAGTTCCCTTCAGTGGGAAGACAGGGACTGGTTTACGGGCTGCGAAAGGTCAATTAGAGTCTCAGAGAAGGAAGGGAGAGCGTGTGTGAAGTGTCACACTGTGCCGGCTCTTTCTGAGCTGCTTTACTGTGGAAGCCCCCGGGTAGCGATCTATAGGAATCAGGAGGCCACAGGTATGCTGGGGGGCGGACTGGGAACAGAGGCCCTCAGCCTTCAGAGACATACACGGACTAACACGTTCACTGGTTTTGTTTCAAAAGCAAAAAAACATGTCTACACCTGTATACAAGAGTAGTTTTCTTGTTTTTTCTGTGTTGTCCCTGTCACACATTAGAACCTAAGAAATGCCATCTTGGGTCAGCTGTGCATTCTTGTCAGCTGGCAGCTCACTGGACAGGCAGGTCACTTTCTATCCTTCGTGGGGTAGACGCAAAGATCAGCTCTGAAGTTCAAGAACACTGATGACCGAGGAATGCTATTTAAGAGGAGTGTGGTGCTTGGACCCAAGTGTTCTCGCCACACATGGGCATCTGGGAGCAGCGTACAGGACCGCTTACGGCAGAAACAGGTGGCGGACAGTCCTCAACTCTTCCTGCTCAGCCCTCCCACCTCCCATTACCTGCCCAGCCTGGTGCCTGAGGTCCTCACTGCCACCACCTTACCTCCGGCCCTCATCTCCTCCCCGATGGGCTGGGTCTCTCAGCCGCTACAACATCGCCAGTGTCCTCCTAAAACACTCTTGCAAGGGGTTCACCTGCCCTCCTGATCTTAACACCCCTTTCTGGGCTGGCAGGGCCCCTCCCTGGCCTAGCTAGACTGGACGTGCCCTTATTCCTCACCTGGACCATTTTCCTCTCGTCCACCTGGAACATGCCTCCTTGCGTTTCAAGGCTTAGTTCACATCCTGCCTCCGCTGGGGCTCCTTGCAGATGTGCTCCTTCGCCTCACTCCCATGCACTGCATCATCCCAGGTAGCTCCCCCATACTGTTCCCATACGGTCTCCCCAGTAGCCTGTGGGGGTTGAGTGATAAGGTTCAGGGACTTGACTTATGCGTTGCTGTATCCCCAGCAGCAAGGGCAGCGTGGTTATGGAGAGAATGGGAAGGAATTCTGTGCCAGGAATCATTTGCGATTACCAATTTGAAGTGGGACACTAACCAAATGCCGTATTTAGCGCCTCTATTTTTCTAGAAAATATACCAACTTGGACAGCCGTCCCTATGGGGCCTGCTGTTGAAATATTTCCTGAGTGCTGAAAACATGTTAAATCCCACTCCCGCACAGCCTCCAGTACTCCCGCCCCAGCCCTCGCTCAGGACGTGGAGGAGGGTTCCCCAGGTCCTCTCCAGCTGGCTCCTTCCCAGCATCCTGGTCTCACTGAGAGTGGGGCCAGGAACACAATGATTTGTATGGTTCCTAACATACAATAGATTTCAGGGGTTTGGGAGCTGAGAGAGTCAGCTCAAAAGGAACGACTAGATGAGAAGCCCTCCAAGATGGTTTGGTGTTTAGGAATAGCCTGGGGGCACACGAAGGTGTGACGTGCTCACGTCAGCACACCTGCCTGGTGGGGGGCCAGAGAGCAGCATGCACATGGCTGCCTGCCGTGCCTGCCGACTGGAACTCAGGGGTCTGTGTCTGAACCCCAGGCCCACTGACCACGGGCATGCCCGCGCCTCAGCTCCTTCATCCGTCACCGGGATGGACTGACTGCACTTCATAAGCCTCCCCTGAGCAGCACTGTGCTGGGTGCTGGGCAGCTACAGGTGAACAGCGTGGACAGTCTCAGCCCTGCAGCTAACGAGTTTCAGAGATGACAGGCCTCCTGCCGAGGCCACGGCGAGACTTAAGGAGGTGGAGGGCCGCTGGGGCCCTCGGAAGGTGGGCACCATCCGGCTGCCCTGGTGAGGAATTCGGGGCTGTTTCATCAAAATAACCCTCCCATGCCCACTTTCTCATCAAGGACTTGCCTCCGTGACCCCAAAGGCATGAGGTGGCTTTGGGCCATTCTGAGGGGCTCTGTGTTGGCGTTTGGGCTTTTACGAAGGTCCGCTTGGCCCCCTGCCATTTGGGGCCCCCTCACTGGATCCTGCTTCACACTTGGCTCCAGGCTTGTCCCTCTCCTGTGCCTTAGGCTGCGGGGTGGACAACACACCTCATCTGGTCTGGCAGGAGCTCCTTCCGTTCAGACAGTGAGCAGTTCTGGAGAGGTGTGAGGCGTGATGGTGATGTCTGGCAGCAGCTTCTCGACCAGCAATGGAGAGGTGAACACCAGGTCCCTGATCCCAGCTCTGTCAAAGGCCTTCTCCAGCCCCGGCCCTGAGCGCCACTGCTGAGGGACTTCTCTTCACCCCTACACTCCGCAGGGGCCACGCAGCCAAGAACTGCACCTGAGTTCTTAATTCTTTTAGCAAATGAGCAAAGGCTCGTTTTTATGGTTTGCCTTGTGGCTTTTGGACATTTTCGTCATCCTCAAATTGACATTTAGCTACGGATTATGCAAAAAAAAAACTATTGTGAGAGCAAGCGCTCTGAGCTGCCCAGAGGAAGCCTTGTCCACGTACTGTGTGCCCGTATCCACCATGTCGCCGTGTTTTCTTCCTGCCTTCCCCATTGGGCCTGAGTTCCTTGATGACGGCAGGGAGCCAGCATTCTGTGTGGGGGTGGCCTGGTCCTGCAGCCCGTGTGGAGGGCGTTGGCTGCAGCATTGATGTGGGTTATTGTATTCAAAACTGACAGGCGCAGTCACATCGCTGGCTGAGATTGAAGGCTGAGGTCACCAGTACAAAGAGAACTGAGCCAGTGCTAAATGAGGCTCTGAAGCAACAGGAACAGGTCCTTACCCCTCAGTAGGGGATGCGGGGGCTCCCCCCCAAAGCACAAGGTGATCTGGAAGAACTCAATTTACACCCTCGGCTCCTGCGGGCTGGGGGATCAGCAGAGGGCGGGATAATCCCAGCTTCTCGAGCAGATGGTTTCTGACTACCGCTTGACCCAGTTCCCTCCCAGCAGATGACCGGCAGTGGGGCTGATAGCTCCTCCATCAGGGGAGCAAAGTGAGTACCCTCCTCTCAACCTCCTCTTCCCTCCTCCTACCAGCAAGGGTGCGGTGGCTTTTGCCTCTCCCCAGCGCCAGGTCAATGGGCAGGATGCTGCACCTTCCCCAAGGTGTGGAGCACTTCTTCCCTTCCCCCAGCCCTGTCCAGCCCAGGTGCAACTCACAGTAGGAAGGGGTGTAAATGGGCAAGCAAGGAACGCTACTGTGAGGGCTGGTGCTGGGGAGTGGGGGCATTAAATCCTTCACTGGCTTAATGACTTCTCTCATTCATTCAATCAATCAATCCACCAAGCATTCATTCAATAAGCTGCCCCCATCATCTGCCAGGTCTGGCATCAGACAGGGCCCAGAAAGCCTGGTCCCTGCTCTCCCGGAGCCTGAGGCACCATGCAGGAGATAGACAAGTGAAGAGATAACAGCCAGGCACTGGGCTGAGGGGCCTAATCTGGCAAATAGCTATTCAGGGCATAAGAAGGCCATGGCAGGCTCCACCACGAAGGAGAGACTGGGCTGGCTCTTGAAGACTGAAAATGAGTTTGCCAAGTGGTTGGTGGCTGTGGTGACAGAAAAAGCCAGAAGACCAGAGCATGTGTGCCTGGTGGAAGATGCAAGCAAAACCACAGAGGTGGGTCAGGCCTGGCTCGGGGCCACCGCACAGAAGGTGCTGGCCCAGGCCGCCCAGGAGGCAGAAGCACCTCCTTCCTGCCCAGGGATCATAGGCTCTGGGACAGGGCAAGGGGTGGAAACCCCAGGGCACAGAATGCTGTGTATCTGGGAGTTGGCAGAGAATTGAGCTCTGCAGAAAGCCCGAAGGAGGCAGAAGGGCTGCCGTCTCCGGGAACCTCCTGGGCCCCTCTTCTGACTTCAGGTTGGTAAACCCAGACCAGCTCCATTTTGTCCCGCGGGAGCAGCCCGGGCACCTTCTGGTCGGTTCCTTAGATTGGGAGGGAGGGGGCGCTCGACCTCCAGACTTGCGGGACTCTGCAGGGCTGCGGTCCGGGCTGAGCTCCACAGCAGCACCGGCCGGCCGGAGAAGCTCGCGATTGGGGGCGGGGAAGGGGGAGGACCCTGAGCTGGAGGCCACGCTCCGCCTCGGTCGTCCTGGGTTCCCCAAAATCCTAGGAACGCCAGAATGACCTCCCACCCCGCTTCCGCCTCGCAGTCCCACCTGTTACGGGGCGCGGCCACCGTGGGTGGGGGTCTGGATGAGCAAGAGGAGAGGGCAGGGCCGTCTTCCCGGCCCGAGGTGCTACGCCCTGTGGGCATTGTCGTGCTGCACCACACCCAAGTAGGGGCGTGAAGAGGCGCAGAAGAAACGGATTGCACTTGGGGTTCTGGACAGGGCTGGGAATTCGGTTTCCATTGACAGCGCCTCTTGTCTGGCGGCCCAAGAACGGCGGCCTTGCAATCGTAGTTTATTGGGTTCTGTGAGGAGTTTAGCCCGGTTGCCTCGTTTGGGGCGCCCAACCAGCCCATGTGACATAGGTGCTATTGTCCCCCACTTTACAGATGAGGAGATAGACACCAGAAAGAGTGAAGACTACCCAGGGTCATTGCTACAAAGCTGGCAGTGGATGAGCCTCGACTGGCACCCGGGTTTTTCTGAGGCCAAGGTTTGCCAATTGCAGGGCGGGGGCGGGGGAGGGGGGAGTGCTGGAGACCTCGCCGGCCCGGCAAGCCTTGGGGCTCAGAAGCCTCCCCGCTGCGAGGCTGGTTCCCCGCACCATGGAGCAGTTCCTCCGGGCTCGGAGCCTGCGGAGGCAGCGGCTGGCCAGGCCTCCAGCGCCCCTCCAGCCTGCGGGGCCCACGCCTCGCCCAGTGCGCTGGCGGCCCGGGGCGCCCGGCTAGGGCACTGCAGCCCGGGAGCGACATCCACCGGCGGAGCCAGCCCGTGGTGCCTGAGGCCGTATCGCCGCCCCCGCCTCGCCAGGCCCGCGAGGGAGCACCCCGGGAGGGCCGGGGGCGGCCGCGGCGGCGAGAGTTGCCACTCCTGGTCGCGGAGGGCGGCGGCAGGGGTGAGGGCAGGGCCTGTGCGGCGGCGGGGAGGGGGCAAGCGCCGGGATCCTGGGCCGGGAGCCCGTCGGTGCCGCCCGCCGCCCAGCTGGGCGAGGGTCCGGGGCGCCCACGTGGTGGGAAAGTTTGGAGACAGCAAAAGTGGCCCGGCATTGCGGGGGGGGGGGGAGGGGAGAGGGCCAGCCCGCCCCTCCTTCTCGAAAAGGCAGAAAGGAAAAAAGCCGAGGGAAGCGGGGGTGGGCGGGGGGAGCGGGTAGCACCGACCTGAACTGATTCCTCCCCGACGCCCGCCCCCCCCGCGTCGGGGAAGCCAGAGCGGGGAGGCACGGACAGTCTCCTCCCGCATGGCCAGGACGAGACTCGCTCACCCCTCCTTTTTTTTTTTTTTTTTTTTTTTTTTTCTGCCAACGTCTATCTCAACGCGCGCGCACATACGGAGATTGTGCGGCTTTTTTTCCCCCTTGGGAGAAAAAACGAGGAGAGTAAAGGAAGACCGGGCAAAGAGAAGAACTCCTCCTCGGCGGGCTGTGCACTCTGTGTCGCGGCCGGGCGCGGGGACGCAGCCGCCACCCGCCGGCTCTCTCCCGGCCCTGCGGCGTGTGCCAGCGGGAGAGCGAGCTAGGGCACCGCACCCGGGGACGCGGCGAGACTTTGAGGCGCTCGAGCCGACATCGCCGCCGCCGCGGCAGGCAGAAGAGACACGGGCGAGAAGGGCCCTGCCTCCGCCTCGCCTTCCTCGCCCGGCGCCCCGCGCCCAGCCGGCCCGCGCAGGCAGGCGGAGAGAGGGAGGCAGCGAGGAGGCGGGCGGAGCAGAGGCCCCGGCGAAGCGCGCAGCGGCCGGCCCGCCCGCCAGTGGATGCGGCGGCGCCCCGGGAGCCTGGAGACAACTTTGCCGTGTGACGCGCAGGGAGGACTGCAGGGCCCGCGGCCGGGGACTCCGCGCCGCCTCTGAGCGGGCCCGCGTTCGCCGGCGCTCCGGGCACTGCGCTCGCTCCGCTTCGCCGCCCGCCCGCCGGCCGTGGCGAGCACAACCCACCCTTCGCCGGCCCTTCCTCGGCGCTCAGGTGCGAGCGCGGGGCCCCGCCGCAGCGCCCGCCGCAGCGCCGCGGCAAGCCGCACTCGGCTTCGCTCCCGGGGCTCCGGAGCCTTCGCTTCCGTCTCGGCCAAGTTGCGTCGACCGGCCCTTTCGCCACCTTCCCCGCCCGGGGGCCAAGCCACCGCTGCCGCTGCTTTCACTTCATCCGAGCGGGGGCTGCGGGGGCTGCGGGGCCGCAACCCGGAGAGGATGGGGAGAAGGCTGCAGATGCCGAGGCGCCCCGATACGCCCGTGCGGCAGTGACCCGCCAACCCGCGCCTCGCCCCACGCGCTTCTCCGGTGCCCGCGACCTTCGGCGCCCCTTCTCGGCCGCAC